AATAAACAGACTCACTGGCTCATAAACCTAAAGCTGATGTTTAACCCAACATCAAGCACAACAAAAATTAATTATATACTAAGGAAATGACTTGCAGATTTTCCTACTAAGTCAGCAATATGGAAATTGTTGATATGCAATTTGAATGACCTCTATAAGGTTGATACAGGTCTGACCCAAATCTAATTACATTGCACCTTCCATTATTAAAAGCTCTGCCCTTCATGGATGATTAGGGACATAAACCTTTTAAATTGTAAAAAAAAAAAAAAAAAGAGGCTTAAAACTAATGGTTACTTACTTTGATAGATGTTTTAAACATTATTCTGGTAAGATCACAAAAACCTGAAATGCTATGCTTCTAGTGCCTTCAGGTCTAGATAGATGTCTTTCACTTGTCACTTTCAGTGGATATTTTCTGGTAATACAGAAGTATTCCTACGCAGGAAGGCTGATGCTCAACAGAAGCCATGGTGACTAAAAAGTCTTTTCATTGCGGGGCATTTCTAGTAAAACCTCTAGCGTCAGAGGTACTAGTTTCACTGAACAAGTCAGAGGAGAGTCAAATAACGTGTCACAAACACAGCAGCGGATTAGGCTAAGCCGAGTAAACTGATCAGGTGCCTTAGTCAAAGTTGTTAGCAGTTTGTGGAGAGCACAGGTTGACCTCTCACGAAGTAGTTGCTGGAAGCCTGAGCCCCTCCTGACGGAGGCTCTGTGTCCTCTCACGTATCTCAGACAACTCTGAGTTGACTCAGTACTGTGAGGCTTTAATACATTATCCCAAAACATTTCCAGAAGCAAAAGAAGCCTTTCCCGTCCCACCACATGAGGACAACTAGAAATTTCATGCTCTAAATGCAGATAATGAGTCTTGTGGAAACACCAGCAAATGACCATCCCTGACTTTGTTAGAAGGGGTCACCCCACGTTTTTCTCTGTGGTGAAATTTCAAGGCATTGGTTTTTGGATCTGGACCTCACAACTTGGAGGAAAGTGGAAACTGCACACTGTTGGGGACCTCGGGATAAGCTGATGAGGGGTGCTTCCTATATGTTCAGAACTTTGCCAAGACTTGCGTGTCCTTGTGAAAGTCTTCTTTTCCTTTTCCAACATTGCCTGCTGACCTAATTCCTTCCTTTGCCATACAGGAAAGCAAAAGGAATTACCAGATAGTTTTAGCAGGGGCTAATGCTGTAGGAAGAAATCAGAACATCTGTGGGCTTTGCAGGCTGATACTCCTAAATTAGGATTCAATTTCACTACTGCCAATGGTGCTCTGGGTTTTCAATTAATTACCTTAAATTCCAGGGAAAAGTGCAAAGCTCTCTTCTCCCTGGAAATAGTGCCCTGACCTTGCCAATTAGTAACCTGACCACCAACTAATAGAGAAAAGCTGAGTGCTGTCTGCAGAAAATGTTCTGTGGTTCCAGAAATTGCACGTACAAAGCCAGCCGATTACTTTATCTGGAAACAAGCAAATTCTTGCGTGGTGTCACTGCATTAAATCCAGTAACGATTTTCTATTAAGTGAGGTTATGCTCCTTACAACCTGCTATTAGAGGAGCACAAAAAAGATTAAGTTTCCCACTGGACCTTGCCAAGTAAAGCAGACCGATGGCCCAAGAACTGTAACTGACCTCTGCACAATTGCCACTAGGTGGCACACTGTTCGGCCCCCAAGAGTCTAGGTTGAGTTTGCAGAGAACTTCTGATTTCTCAGGGGTTCAGATCTCACTCTTTGAATTGACTCACTCCTGCTTTCTGAATAGTATTTCCCTACAAGTCCCCACACCTCCCATAGAGGTCAAAACACTCAGGATCCAAAATTAAACCTACCTTGAAGTAGAGAAAGATAAATTAGTTTCCAGTGAGGAAAATTCCTAATAAGATTCCCCCGGTGTTCCCTCTTGGCAGCCTTGGGGTGCCACTTGTAAGGAATCTGAAGCAAGCAGGCTAGTTAGGGGAAAATTTGGACCTGTATACAACCAGATCTCCTTGAGGTTCAGAAGGGTAGAAAGTGCTCTCTGAGAGATGGGTGAAAACATTTATGTTCCACAAAAACACACGTCTTCCTTGCTGCTATGGATTTGTGTGTGGCCCTGGATGAAACTGGATGCTGTGCTTAAATTTCCCTTCATTTCACAGCTACAGAAAGAGTAATTTAAAAGGTGGCTGAGCAGCTGGAGGTCTAGCTCAGTTGGTAGAGCACATGCTAGCATGCACTAGGCCATAGGCACAAACTCCAGCCTAAAAGACAAAGTAATATATAAGAAATGACTGGTAACAGTGCTGTGTTTTAGGCACCACCACTGAACATGTTAAGGAAAGTTCTCGGGAGTGGAGGAAAGAAGCACATGACGTGGTCACAGAAACAACCAGCAGTTGGTTTGCAAGCATCCTGAGTGGTGGGTGGTAGGCCAGGCAGTTACAGGGTGTTCTGTTCTTCACATTTAGTGGGACTCCAGGTTCCTGTGACTTGTGACTTGTAAGTGCACACATGGATACTTGTTTGGATCAAGCCATTTTACAGCCACCCACAGTCCTTAGCCAATATCACTGTCTGAACAAAGACTATGACCAATTGGACTAACTACTGTTGAGCTCTCTTTATGGTGTGAACTTTGAATGGCTTGATTTAGAGCATTTTGGTTCATGGAGATGCCCGTTAAAGGGTGTTCTTTAGCTTCTGGATATTACTGATGTACAAGATGTCAGTAATACAACATCTCCTGAAAGTCACTCTCAAGTCTCCCTAGTGTGTTGTATGCCCTCGAGTCCTAAGTGTTTCTATGCAGCCGTCCTTTGTACACCAAACACAACAGAAACACAAAGCACCAAGAATCATCCCAATTATCTGTCACTGTCAATTGTGAACTACAGAATTAGACTCTCTCAGTTAATTATGATGGTGACAGAAAGGGTCAGTGCCCTCTCAAAATGGAGGCTGAACAAAAGTAGGGACTGTTTACATTAAATCTGGCCCGAATCTGCCTATATACGTGGGGAACGGCAACCTACCTTAATATGTCAGCACTGTAATCTGCCTGCTTGTGAAACAGATAGCTGAGCAGCCAACGTTTTAGGTAGTCACAGGCTGCATGCTGCTCGTGAGTGTGCAAAGAAGATGAATGAGCTATAACTGCCAAACTCTTTCTGTGTGTCCCTTTCTTCTTCTGTCTCTATACACTGTCTGCCATCTTCCTGGGTAGAGCATTCGGAATCTGTACTGTTTTGGGGATGCTTCCAAGTTCTCAAGTCATTTCTTTGCCCAAAGAAGGTGCTAAAATTAACTTGTCTGACCTTTTCTTTATAATGCACTAGCAAGAACTGAGTGTTACAGCGTAGCAGGCTCCTGCACTCACATGCTCTGGAGAAAGGATTACGAGGAAGTTCTCTGCACCCTTTAGGAAAAATAATGTTGTACATTGTCTACATCTCCAGAATAACTGGCTCTCATTGCAGTGTCCTGCTCTCAGTGCAGGCTGTGTCCCCTTCCTGAGCAGGCCAGCCTAGCTCTAAAGACATGGAATCTTGATGCACCATACCAGGGCCCTTCATCCCTTCTGAGAATTTACAAGATCTGGCACACAATGGGCTGGAAAGTGATTTTTTTTCTCATTCCTCTCTCCATCCTTCCCCCACCCCAATCTGAAAACTCTGAGAAACAATTACAGTTCTCTGAGATGCTAAGAGATAAAAGTGACCCTCCACAAGACTCACCCTTCTAGATCCCCTAGGTCACAATTATCCAGTGATAAGAGGAAAATTTCCACAAATGCTGAATTGAGGGGCAGGCCAGGGCTTTGGCTAAGGCACATCTTGCCATGCATCTTGCTCCAACAAAAACATTGAAGGGTGTTGTCCTGATTCATACAGGATTGGAGCAGAGTAGGTGAGGTTCCTGGCTGCACCACTTAACCAGCTGTGTGCTCTGGAATTCACTTTTACCCTGGAACTTATATTTCCCAGTTGCAAAATTAAGTGATTGACCGAATTTAGGGCATCAGAAAGAAAAAAATCGAGACAAATCACTGTTGTGTGTGCTAATTTGGCATGTGGTAGAGCAGTAACTAGAGATCTGCCAACCCTGTTGGCTCTCCCCATTAAATCAAGGACATGAAGGAAGGTTAGCTGGATTGGAAAACGTGCTCGGAAAGTCAGTTTCCCACTTGACAGTAGCCCTCCGTGATTACTGCCGTGCCCGCGTGCCAGATGAGGAAACCGAGGCCCAGGCAGATTAGCTAGTGACCCAAGGTGACAGTGTGCAGGGGACCAAGAGGAGACTCCAACTGGGAACACCGCGTTCTCTGCAGGGAACCCCTCGGGCCCAGAGGGTTGCATCCCCAGCTCTCACCAGCCCCAGGAAGGTGGCATACAGGACCGCGGTGGTGAACCAGCGCAGTGCGCTCCCGGTCCGGGGCGCCGCCACTGCCTGCGGCGCAGGCTCCGGGCCCGAAGCCTGGAGGAGCCGCTGTGCAGCAGCCGGGGTCCCGGCACCGCCGAACTCCGTTTGCAGCTCCAGCTTGGCGGCGACGGGGAGGTGGCCTTGCAGCCGCCGAGCTTTTCTTCGCCGGAGCCGGTGGAGCACGGAGCCCCGGTCCTTCCCTGCCTGCAGGTCCCTCCCGGCGCTGCCCCGCCCGGGGCCCGTCCGGCATCCCGGCCGCGGAAAGGCGGACTTTGGACCGCACGTGCATTGCGGGAGACCGACCAGGGCGCTCCATCCCAAGCTTGGTTTTGGAAAGGAGGCTGGTAGCCAATGTGAGCCTCGGCTCCATCCGGAAGGTGGCGTGGTTGCCTCGGCGACCGGACCTCGCGGTCTGGTTTACGCAGCTGGAGACCAGCAGACCGCCTCCCCGCGGCCGGGCGAGCTGGGACCGGAGGCGCAGAATGGGGAGGTCAGAGGGGAGACCGAGGCCCGGGTTCCAGCGCCCTTGCTCTCAGAATATCAACCGAGAAAGGTCCTGGAATAATAAAAAGCAGTGCCACCCAGTGCTGACCTGAGACAAGGATTCGGGAAATTCCAAATGCCAGAGGGCTATGGCAGAAAATAGCGGCGACTTTCCACTTTGGAGACCAGCACACCTTGATCTTTCACAGTCAACGTCCTTCAAACTTTAGGTTCTAAAAACACCGCCTCGTGCAAACACGACCACTCAATCTTCTGGATTTAGAAAGACCTCAAAACAATGTAATCCTTGCAGTTGACAAGCTTAAAAGAGAGTGCTGCGCAAGTGAAAATGCTGTTAGCCAAAAAGAACAGCTCGTCAGAAATGAAGCCGCTGTGAGAAGACACAAAGGGATACTTTGTGAAAGACTGAGCTGAGTTGAGGGTCTGCTGCTCTGGCTTCTCATCCGTCTTGACAGCGTTAGCTACAGCATGTCAAAGAGAGCTACAGTTGTAGGAACATCAGATGGCACGACTGTGGTACATGCAGCTTCCTGGAGGCCATCATAGAAGTACACTTTCTGGAAGAGAACGAAGAATGTGCTAAAAGAGAAACAGTCAAGTATTCAACCGCTGTAACATTCTGGCTACTTGATAAGTTTGGTCCCTAGCGGAAATCTCAGTTCTCAAACATAATGTCTGTACAGCTGGAAACAGGGATTTGCAAACTTAGTAAGAGTGGGGAGGGGAAAAGGAGAAAAAAAGTAGGGGAAGGTGGAGAAAGAGAAGAAAAAAAGAAGGTAAGCCACAGGCAAACTTTCGGGGATAAAATTTGAGTTGTGAAATGCAAAATAGGGCTTCAACCCTCGCCACAAGTTTTACAAAATCCCTGCTCTTGTTCTATCCAGTCTGAGGTCTTGTGGCCTGTCATCTTTCATTGTACAAATATTAGCTGAGCCTCATGGGTCAGCCCACGCATGTATTCTCAATCCTCATAGCAACAATCTGAATCGCACGCTAGCCCTGTGTACAGATAGGAAGGTGAAGACACAGACAAGAAACGCCCTGCCAAGCTCAGCCAGAGAATCAGTGGCTGTCTATGGAGTGTGACAGCAGTTCAGAAAGAAATCAGGGTCCAGTTGCAATGTCAGCTAAACACAAGACCTATTCCCAGCAGAGAATTTCAGTGTTGTAGGAAAATAGAGCTAGACATCGATCTGCATGAGTTCTTCATTTGCATTTGAGCCTTAACTGGCCTTGATAGATAGCAAGAGGTTAATGTTTATTAACACAGGTCTCACTTTAACTTGGTCTTGAACACACAGCAGAAAAGAATAACCGAGAGCTGTAAAAATAATGGTAAGGTAGGCTCAACATAAAAAGGGGTGCCCTAACCACTGCCACCTGCTGACAGTTTCCAGCTACTACACCTATAGACAGGTCTAGGAGCCTGCTGCTTACAAATAGCTATTTCAATCCCTTAATGGCAGCATCTGGACGTGGTTCCTTCCCCAGCATGCCTGTGAGTTCTAAAGTGTGTCCTGAAATTTCATTGGAAGCCTTTGAAACATCAAGATGATGATAGATGACAAAACCTAGCCAATTAGAGTTAGGTACTCAGAAGTAGTACTTTAGTAAGAAATTTTTATTTTAATTGAAACAATATAAGAAAATGGATTATTATAAATTACTCTTTAATTTACTTCTTGCAGCACTTAGATTGGGAACAAGAACCTTGTCCACACTAGGTAAGGACTTGGTGTAAGATAGCTGTATTATAGACTGCCAAGTTGGTTGGAACTGTTACAGGCAGACAGGGCTGGGCCCTGGAGGGACTCAGTGGAGATGAGAACACATTAGCACTGTGGCTGGAGGTACACTGAAGAAGACTGGCTGGATTTACACACTTCCCTGAGGGATAAATGCAAGCTTATTATCGGTACCGTCCTTTTGAGATTTCCTGTATAAATAAACCAGTGTCTCATTAGGGGTGAGCTATCTTCTCCCATCCACTAAGACTAAGACTAAGACTAAGACTAAGACTAAGACTAAGACTAAGACTAAGACTAACACTAACACTAACACTAACACTAACACTAACACTAACACTGCTAAAACTAAATTCAAGACTAAGACTATAGATTATTGACTAGGGTTAATGATGTCATCCATATGCACTGACTACTATGGGATCAGTGTTAACCTAAGTGGCTATACTTATAATCTTATTGGTTGATCATAGCTTTGACCCAAATTTTGCCAGCTTTGTGATTTTGCTCTATAAAACTTCCTATGAAAAGTAGTTCCCTGGCAACCCATTGGGGACCCCTCCTGTCTCCCAGGGTCCATTCCTAATCCCCATCCCTATTCCCCATCCCTGTTACCTTTTCCTTTTCCCCAATCAATTTTCCTACTCTTAATTTCTGCTATTTTTTAGAATTCATTCTTCAGCTTTGAGGAGCACAAACTTGGCATATTGAACATCTAGCAAACTGGGTGTTAACTTATTTCCCCTGTCATTTGCAGGTCATGTATCAGTAATTGACTACAGGGTTATGTGAAAACAGTACAAATGAAGGGGAGGTTGGATGGCAGACTGTTTCCACCTGTCACAGTTGTAGAATGTTCTTCTAGTTCACTTTTCCTCTGGGTCTCTGAAAGAAAAGTAAATTTTGCTAGAGGATAAAGGGTGTTTTTTGAGTGATAGCCAACTGTTAGCACAAATGTGCAGAGAAATCTGAGGTCATAGAATGAGTCAGGCTGTACAAAAGCTGGGAAAACTATGAACACAAAAGAGACAGTTCTTTCCTGTATAGACTTTATTAACTAGTGGAGATACTGGTATTAATCAGATTATTACACAGAAACTATATAGTTAATTCCTAAGTATAGTGAAGAAAAATACAGAGGTTCTGATTTAAAAGGACTTGTTTTAGTATTGGGTTTTGGGGGAGATATTTTTAAGAAAAGTTTTGTGTGATTGGAATAAAAAGTATGTCAAAAATATCTGAAGAAAATGTGGGGGAGAAAGGGAAGGTCCACACTGTTTTGCGTTGTGGTCCTAGGGATTGAATCCAGGGGCTTCACAATGAGCTACATCCCCAGCCCTCATTTCGAATTGCTTCTTTTGAGACAGAGTCTTGCTAAGTTGTTAAGATGCCAGGGCTGGGCTCAAACTTTCCATCCTCCTGCCTCAGTTTCCCAGTGTTGGAATTACAGGTGTGAGCCACACTGTAGATCCACATCGTAGAGAGTTTTGAATGCTGTACAAAAAAGACTTTGGATGTGAGTAATGCACTTCTGTCTGCAAACTGAGTTTTGTTTTTTGTAGGTTTTTTTTTTTTTTTTTTTTTTTTTTTGTACTGAAGGTTGAACTCAGAGCCTTGCATACCCTGTGTCTTGGTTACTTCTCTATCATTGCTGGGACAAAATACCTGACACCCAAAGTTAGAGAAGGAACGGTTTATTCAGCTCACAGTTTGTGGAGGTTTCAGTCCATAATCAGCTGGTTCCAAGGCAAGGTGCCATGGCACTGGGCAACACTTCAAGGCAACAACTAGAATAAAAAGAGAAAAAAGAAACCTCTTTTCCTGGTTTATACTGTACACAGGCCACCCCCTCCCTCCATGGAGGGTGTAGCACTCACAAAATCTCCTTGCCCTCCTTTGCACAGGATGAGGATATTTATAAAGAGCTCTTTGCTGAGTCTCTCAGTTAAACTTCTAAGCTGCTCAAATTGACACAGTATAAAGGGTGGATCCTTGCACACCCTGAGAAAGTGTTCTATCACTGAGTTACATCCCAGGCTATTTTATTTTATTTTCACACAAGGGTTTGCTCAGTTGCCCAGACTGCCTATGAACTTGGACTCCTCCTGCCTCAGCTTCATGAGATTATAGACATTCATGCTTCTATCTGGTTTAAATATTGAGACTAACTACAACCAAAAATGTTTTCCAGGCCTATCAACTTACATGAGAATTCATCTTTATCACCTAAAACTGATCTCATGTCATCTTAGTAAACCTACTTCCACTTTAGTGCTGTTTTGGGCTGATGCCACCACACCGCTGCCCATCTCTGTGAGGAGCCTGAGGTTCTGCTGTGATGCTTCCTTCTCTCTTCTCAATTTATTACTCAGTGCTGCCAATTATTCTTCCTCCTTTCTGAAGAAACAAACAAATTTATTGTAAGAGCATAATCCACTTCGATTTGAGATTCTTGGGCTGGGCAGTATCTCGCTCTGTGGGGTAGATTTGGTGTTTGGATAAATGGAGGCAAAGCAACTGGCTTTATATGCAGAAAAGGGTTGAAAATAGTAGAAAAGGTAACAAAAGACTGCTTCCTTCAAAGTTTCTTTTCTTAGTAAAAGTTGGGTTCCTGATTGTGCCTGCTCAGGCAAACTGGGCACCTCGCAACTAGCAGCTGGAGCTAACTGGTCATTGCCATCAGACTCGAAAGGCGTGAGGCCAGAGATCATGTCTGCTCTGCAGTGTATCCCTGCAGCACAATGGCAGGGGTGGAGAGGTCACTCAGATTACAGATGCATAGCTGACTGCTTATAGATGCATAGGTGAATTAAACTATTACCGATGTCCCCCATCTTACACAAGAGCGATTTGGTAGGCAGGTGGGCATTGGAGCCAGATTACAGGGAAACAACAGAAAGTAAGGGGCCGCCTTAGTCAAGAGGCCAGCAGGCACAGACAAGCACCCAGCAAGTAGCCTCTTCTATAGAACAGGCCTAATATTACCTGCCTTGCAAAGTGCTCGGGGCTCCAGGAGATGAGGAAAGCAGCTGGACCCCATTATGAGTGTGCGCAGAAGGAACCACTGCCCTAATGCTAGTGATGGCTCACCATCAAACCATGAAGAGCATGGGGCGAAATAATCCAAGCTTTGAAAGACAATAACCTCCAGCCAAGATTAATACATCCTGCACAACTGTCCCTAGCAATTAATGGAGAAACAAGGTGCTTCCAGGATAAAGAGGAACTAGGGAATTTGCAACCACCAATTCAACTCTACAGAGAATACTGCAGGACATTCTAAAAGAGAAAAATACCAAGATTTCAGAAACAGTGGCAGAGAGGCCACAATGAATGGAGCAGAAAGTGAAATGAAGAAGACAAATTGACAACTAATGACAGAAAAAGAGCTTAACAGGAATGAGGCAGAGAAGGTTGGATGGTATGAACATCTATTTTGGAGAAAACAAGACATCATAATAGCTAGTGCTGATTTAATATCATCTTGTTTTGAAGTCCCATCAAGCTTTTGTTCTTCTGTCTCCATCGGTCTTAACATGTTGAATCTTACTGGATTTTATTATATGTGATAATATAAACAAAACTTTTATAGACAAGGAGATAATACAGAAATCATTGTTTATTTTCTGTTAGTTGATTCTAAATAGCCTGTAATACTGTCATTCTCTTGAATGGTTTTACATTGTCTTGATATGTTTGATGCTACAGTATATGAAGTTATACTCAAAGATTTCAAAGAAAGAGACAATATGGTAACTACTTTTATGTCAGGATATCTTGTGGTGAAACACTGTTTTGCTTAAATGGCTATGTTCTGATCTGTGCTGTTTTGTTATGCCCTCTTTTATCTCAATTTCCTTTTTTATTAATTTATTTTTTATTTTTATCTTTTTAATTAAGGGAAAAATAAATAAAAAATAGGATATATTATAGTAACCCACTTTGATTTCCTATTAACTTGATTTGAAACCTTGTATTGCTCTCACCATCTTGTTTTGACTAATTTTACTCAACTCTGTTTTGCTTGATAGTACCAAGTTTGAGAATATAGGCAACAACTGTGAAGACAATAAGATTCACTATGATGCCCATTCTGGTTTGACTATTATCTTCTTTTGAAGTCCTCTAATGTTGCCTATGTTTTGGTTTTATTGGTTTTGTTCTTTACTGTTTCGTTCAATTTTATTATAACTGATGATATAGGCAATTCTTTTTAAGATAGCAAGAGGCATTATGGTAACCATTGTTGATCACCTTGTATTCTGTTTTTACATTATGTACGATGTCCATCCTTTTGATTTGACTGACTCTGTTTTGTTATGTCACATTTGGTTTTATTCTCTTCAAAAAGAAAGTAATAAAAACTGTGGGAGTAATAAAACCCAAAATGTGTAATTATCAC